TCTGAACTTTTTCTTTCCTCCTGGTCTCCACTTGGTGGAGAATGCCTCTGAGTCCAGCAGTTTTCCATATCAGAAATCTACTGTTGTTACATTGATCATGGTTTACACATAAAGCCAGAATTCATTCCTGTGTGGATAGCAGGCTTTAATACCTTCAAACGGTGGCAGAGAGAGAAAAAAAAGAAGAGTAAAAATTCCCCGAATAATGTAAAAGGTGCAACCCGGCACTGCTAAGGAGACAGATCAAATAACCTCTCGGTCTTTTCCATATGTGACTTCTGCAGTTCCACACAGGCTTTTCACAACAATTGAGTACTCCCCATCAGGGCCAGGGTGCAGGGGTAAGGAAGAGCTCACGCTAGCAGCTTGACAGTTTGCCAATGCATACAGAAGCAATATGCACCTTTCAGTTAGTCAGTACAGTGAATTATGTTTTCAGTTGTACCTTGCAGAGTGAATAGCAAATAACTTTAGGCTGTAACACTGTCCAATCTGTTCCCCCATATGCACTCCTCTTCTTTTCCAAAGAATACACCGTACCATGCAGTAATGAGAGCGTTCAAATAACAATGGAAAGAATGACTCTGATATTCTCCTGAACTAACTTCAAAGCTGCATATCCAGTTCTCTGCCTTTTTTGGTCTGTCTCTTTACACCATTTATGCCTGTTTTTATCAGACTGGGTAGGAGAAGCGATTCCAGCACACCTGACCCAGCTTTTAAACTCAGCTCCGCAGAAAGACAGACATCATGCAGTCACAGGGGAAAAAATCAGTAGAGCTTTCCCTGCTCCCAGCACATTTATATTTCCTGCAACTATCCAAATGATATGTTGGTAAAGTAGGTAAAAATGAGAGTGGGAGGTTACACATGAACTGGAAAGCAGGACACAAAACGTCCTCTCTTTCTGTAACACCAAGTATTATCTCACATATGGGAGGCCACTTCCAGGCAATATATCAGAACTCACAAACTGTCTTTTAGGCACCTGTGAAAAACCACTGAGACTGACACAGGCCACCTGCGACATGCAAAGCCCGCAGCTGAAACAGTCACATTCATAAGGCTGAGGTATAAAGCCCTCTATACTAAAAAGTCCTCCAGACTAGAGAGATTTATTGTTCTTCTGGGGGGAGTTTTAGGCACACAACATATTCCCATTGAGCTTTGAGAGTTTCTCATATTGTGTTTCTTCTCACAGTATCTTCTCTATGGCCAGTCCTGCAGCCAGCCCGACTTCTAGCTGGATAAGCTGTCTCTGCTGTAATATCAACACTTGTCGGGCCAACAGGGAAGATAGTAGAACCAGATACATGCAGAGGATGAGTAGTAATACGGGTATATTCTTTATTCCTTGTATTGACTTGCTCACTAAAGGACTGTGCACAGCACAATACTGAGTGAATTTCAGTAGCACCTGCGTTCTACTGAATCCTTGGGTTGGCTGTAAGTGGGATATAACTCTTGCGTTACACTTCTGCACATGGGAGAATTTTGATTATTTGGGACCAGTGGAGTTCTTTATTTTTTCTTCTTCTTCTCCATCTGGAAAGGACCACCGAAGCCCTTGTGCCAACTGAACTATGAAGACAAAGAATGAAGGCTGCAACTACTACAGCAAGAGGAAGCCTTTACACAACCACTCTGTCCTGTTTGAGTGGTCCACCTCTATACATTGTTCATGCTTGGACAGTGCAGTTTCTATTCAGAAACGTTCCCGCTTGAGTGTCTGCTACATGCAGCAACAGTTAATGGAACATTGTGTCATATACAGTACCTGGCACGGAGCATTGGTCTGCCTTTCCAACCTGCCGCAAAAGGGCTCAGCTGGGTACAGTGGCTTTGACAACATGGGTCAAGGCTCCCAAGTGCACTTGCCGAAGCAAATATATTTCTCAAAAAATAGTGTCTCGGAATAGGACAAGCAAAAACCAACAAGCATTGAAAAACAAACAGCCTGTTCATTCTTTCATATTTTTCCTCTCCTGTTGGTTCAGACAGGAACCTGTTTTATCTATCAAAAGAAATTCTGTTTCTGCAGGGGATGGATAAAAGCCTTCCATACTTCTAAAATCCTCCAGGTCTTATAGACAGACAGGTCCTATTCTAACTCTCTTCCCAGCGTATTTCATCCTTAATACAAAACGAGTCTGGCTCAACCTTTTGCAGACCTCCGAACTGTCAAAAGTTTGGAACAGCAAGGCTCCCGGGTAATTGCATCACGTGAGAGGGGAGGAGGTCGGAGGGAATCATCACTTGAGAACGCATGCCCACATCCCAGCTCCTAGACGGGATCTGACACTGGGCATGTCAGATCATGCATGGAGGAGATGCACAGGGCATGCCACTGCCGGCAGACGTGTGCTGTTAACAGGGTTGCTTTGAATGCGGGCCCCTGCGGGGTCTCCTCCACCTGCTCCAGCTCTGGGCTTGAGCGCATCCTCTCTGCAGCCGCAGTGCTGGCAACAGCTCTTACCTTGGGGGGTAAGAGCTACTGGGAGGGATGGGTGCAGCGGAGGAGCGGCAGCAGAGTGAATCTCACTCAAAATGCCTCAGGCTCAGCAGAGCTCCTCTTGGCATCTACCAATGGATCATGTCACTGCCATCACAAGTGCAGAAATAATGACCAAGGTTGATTTTTTTTTTTTTAAATGGAGAAACCTCATATAGTGAACCATGCATTTCTTGGATGTTATTTGGCTTGCCAAAGGGCTGTAACCTGTCAACCTTCAGTTTCTTTTTACCAGATCAGCCCAAGGCCTTCTCTAATCTCCTAAAAATGCTGTGTCTTGTGTCTTACTGCTGAAAGATTAATTTGTTCATGCTAGGCTAGAGAGGCTCTTTTCATGAGTCTGTTACCATACAGATTACTAAGCTCCTTGTAGCTTCCTCACAAAACAAATATTGTTCCCCTTTCCCTAGAATAACATTGAAATTGTCAAGGGATTAGCGTACGTTTAAAAAAAAATAAAAATATTAGAGCGAGGAGGTCAGAGAATACACAAGTTCTTTGGGTTCCTGTGTTTCAGAGCCAAAGTACTGAAAAGCACTTCTATTCAAACACAGAAACTGCAGCTCTCTGTGCTCTCAGAAGGGTGCCAGCAATTGCAGAAATGTGAAAGAGGAGAGGAAATCTCATGGCGCCAGCTGAAGGAAGGAGAGGCAGTGAGATGCACAGTGCCCCTTCAACCAGCAAGAAAAAGAGGAACCACCAACTCTGTTTCTGAACCACCAGCTCTCTTTTCTCCACTAGCAGGATGCTCCTCCCAGCCCCAGCTTCAATTTAAGCTTGTATTTCAGAGGAATAAATGCAAATGCCCCAGGTGAGGACTGATTTGTATCACAGAAAATGAAAGGAACCCGTGAAGTCAGGAAAAGAAGGACTTGAGAAAAGGCTGAGTTTCATTGCCCTGTACTTTACTTTGAACTTGCTGAAGTTCAGCTACATTCAGCACTGGAGTTTTGGAGCAGACCCATGTCTGTTGTCAACTCACTTAACCTCTGTTGTGATGGATTGTTTATTACAGAATAGTATGTGCAAGATATCACTCAAGGTAAAAACGTAGAAAAATGAGTTGTGAGTGCAGTGGCTGTAATAATTTCATTGTTTAAAATGCTTTAAATAATATGCTTAAGAAAGCTGGGGACAAGTACGTGTGAAGATATACTGTTTAAAACAGTGGACTTTAACGATGTACGTCTGCACATTGGTACAGATAACCACGTCATAAACTCAAGCACTCTTAGGTTAAAACCAGCTGGATTCGTCAGGAACTCTTCAGCTGTGGACAGAACATATTTCAGCAAGTTGGAAGTAATACAAAATGATCATGGGCTGCAAAAGCTTTTACCCTGCTCTGAGCTGCAAACAGAGCAGGATTTGGCCCCAAAATATACCATCAGAAGCCTTTTGAATTAATGTAATAATAGAAATATGGTCTCTTTATACCTTTTATCTAATGGTCCCAAATTAATTTATAAGCATTTAGCACTAACTACAGCTTTGAGTTGTGGGAATATGTTTTCACAGGCAGCTCTGATATGGTTGTGTGAATTACCCTAGGTCACAAACTTAAAAAAAAAAAAAAAAGAAGAGTAAAACAAAAGCAGGCAGGGAAAGGGAAGCAAGAAAAGGACTGCATGCAAGAACAGGGGCAGGAAATCAATCAGGACTGGAACAACAAAGTGTTGCCTCCTATTCCTG